TTTGTGTCTGATATTCCATTGACGAATCCTCTAAAATGGCCTAAAGTAATTGATAAATAAGTGTTCTGTTATAAGTAATAAATGGAGTCATCAAGAAATAGTCTGTTCATCTTACGTTATACCTGTGAGGAAATAATGAAAGTGTGTGGATGAAGCTATGCTGATAGGGAGCCAAGTTGATAAAGTGTCACTGTTACCTTGTCACCCTGAATGTGTAGGTTTGACTATCACATGGGAACAACGTGTGAAACCCATTACTGATGTGTGAGTGAGTGAGTGAGTTGGCTTTTATGACTCTTTGAACAGTATTCCTGTTTTATATCACGGCTGGTCAGCTTATTGTGGGAGGAAAACCTGAAGTGATGCAGGTCTTGGACCTTTACCACTTTGGTGAAACCCTAGAGTATGGGTATGGTGTAGACAAACCTAGAAACATAATTGGTGTGATCTGGTATTTAAACCAAAGATCATAGGTTTCGGGTATGCTCATGAGATGCGATTCTGCACATTGAATTGTGCAGTGGGGGGCCCCGCGGGTATGCTCATGAGATGCGATTCTGCACATTGAATTGTGCAGTGCCGGGCCCGGGGCCCCCCCATTCCTGATGCCTTCAGTTTTGATGCTTTGACATTCCTGTTAAACGCTATCTTTCACTCCATCCCTTACGAAATATGGCTACAGTACTGTGGTCTGTAAAACTATGCTGGAAATCATGTGTGCATGTTCAGAGTAGTAGTCTGTTGAAGCATATTTTGTAGTTTTGTAGTCTCCCAGACCCTCGAGAATAAATGAGTCCAATTCAGATATGGAATGTTTGGGCAAGTCTAAATTGCCTCAGCTCTTCAGGAACTTTTCTGGGCTCCTTTTGAATTTTATCATTTTTATTTTGTATTTATATATTCAATTTATTTCTGGGACTAAATGACAGGCTAGGTTTTCTGTTGCTTCAAAATCTACATTTCAGTGTTGGAACAGACAGCTGACCTGCCTGTCCATAAGATGTCAGTCTGGGTCCTGATTCACAAAGTGTTCATAGTGTTACGAGTTATTATAACTATATAGTTTATCAGAGGCTGCAAATATCATAGTGCTATGAATGCTTTGTTGATCGGACCCCTGGTTATCTGTCTCTTCTTGTCTCTGCCAGCATTTCTGTCTGCCTCAGTAGCTTCCGACTGTCATGTCGCATATGTAGTTCTAAACTGATATACCAATCATCAAACTAAATCTCTCACACAAATTGAACTGACATACCTGTAAAACTTGAGATGATTTGATGGACATGGAATGAATGTGCCCAGCCATGCACCATTGCCAGTGAGTTCCTTCACGTCATCAGGGCTGGCTGTGTGGAATGAGGCCATTTAGCACCAGTTAGCGACAGCTTGTATATTACAGCCTACAGTGGAAGTGACAATTATAGCACGAACCTGCTGCTGTTTGATGAAGGATAAGGGATGGTCTTCATGTTTTTTATTAGTTGGAGTTTCAGCTTACAGTACTAAAACAGATATCATGACACTGTGCTAGGTTTATATGTCAGAATGGCACAAATTTGATATGACCCACATAGGAAGTCCATTTTATCCATTTATGGTTACCTCTGGTTACCTCTGCCATGATACGGGGCGGTCGGGTAGCCTAGTGCTTAAAGCGTTCGCTCGTCACGCTGAAGAGCCAGGTTCGAATCCCGACATGGGTACAATGTGCAAAGCCCATTTCTGGTGTCCTCCGCCGTGATATTGCTGGAATATTGCTAAAAGCGGCGTAAAACCAAACTCATTCACTCACTCTGCCATGATACTGCTCTACTATGTTTAATAACAAAACTAACTTTGAAAATTGTAAAGTTTATTTGCAGCCTGACATATTAGATATTGATCCAGAAAGCCTGCTTAGAAAATAGAACAAAAGAAAAATTTAGAAAAAAAGAATTAGAGTGAGATTGTGAACCAACATGATCAAGCTATCACAGAACATTCGAAAGCATAGCTTAATGTTTCACAATGCTAGCTTATTAATGTATGACATTCTGTGACATATTGTTGATGGTAATATGTTATTGGCTGCGAAGAAAAAAATTGATACATATATCACCATAGTTGTTACTTGGCACTAAGTAGCCATGTCAGTAGTATAATGATAGGCAAGTGTTGCAGGATGCCTGGTTCATACATTCATATTTTAGTAATTGAAATAACTCTCTTTGTATGCTTAGAGACATTGATTTATATAGTTTGACCAGAAATTATTGCGAACTTGTTATACCTTTTTGGTCATCAATGTTTACCATATCAAGATGTAGAACTTATTCTGACTTTAATTGAAGGGGGAGAACTCTGCATGTCATATTTTTAAAGTTGTCTCCCTTGGTAAAAACAAGCTGGCAGATGGTAAACAAGGCTACTGTGGAAATGGCAGCTTTAGAAAAAGAATAATATTTCTGAATTATACAATGTAGGAATCAGATCAGAATACAGATAGAACAGACATTCTCCTATCAACTGTTTATGTGTTTTGAAAAATATTGATAGTAGAGATGGAATTGAGCACAAAAAGGGAGAAGGTAGGCCAAAGAAATTGACTATTGGTGACAGAAGGCGACTTGGTACAGGAAAACAGATGCATAAGCATGGAAAATATTAGGCATTAGGATGCATTTGCATGCAGTATTTTGCAGAAATCACAACAAATTCCATCACCACTCCTAAAACCTTAACAGCAAGAATGACATTTAAACTGGTGTTTAGAGCATAGAAATTTCAATCATGTTCAATTGGGAGAATGTTATGTTCTCAAATGAAAGTTCAGTGTGACTATATCGAAACTGCATAAAATTGGGGACCAAAGGTACAGAAAAAACAATTTACCAGCGTCAAAAGTACGGTCCTAAATTTCATGTGTGGGTTGGGGTGTCTGTGTCGGGTACCTCTCCATTATGTGTATTTGAAGGTAACATAACTTGGGCAGTGTACACTGACATTCTACAGGACATCTCCTTCCAACAACACAAGTTTTCAACGGTAGAAACTAACATTTTTAGTCCACTAGTCCTGATAATGATAACATATAGCAAACCCCTTAAAAATGGCAAATTTCTTCCAGTCCTTATGTACCTTAACTATTGGGCAGTTTGGCAAGGACTATAGGACAAGAGCCTATTTTTAATGCTGGTTTTGTATGGTGGTGGTTGGGTAGGTGGGTATTCCTGCAAGACAATGATCCAAAACATAGAGCGAAGCATTTTAAGGAATGGTTTAACGAGCAAAATCTTACACTCCTGGGATGGCCCAGCTAAGGTCCAGACCTGAACCGAATTGAAAATATTTGGGGAATCATGAAGGACAATATCAATAAAAACTATCTAAAAAATGTTTGTGACATGAAAGCAGGGGTGGTGAGATATTTGGACAGTATGACTCATGATTTTCTAACTTTCTTGAAAGGCAGTATGCCTCGCCGCAATAAAACATGTCAGATAAGCAGTGTTTCTTTGACAAAGTTATCTCTTAGTCTATGACTTTATAAGTCTATAATGTTCTCATTCTAAATAATTTCTGGTCAAACTATACAACTGCTCTAAACCTTGCTTTATACAACTGCTATTGCATATCGCTTCCATGCTTGACTTTAAAACACATAATCCCAGTGAGGAATGTGAGTTGAATTGGTCCAAGTACCACATGCTTGACTTTAAAACACATAAGCCCAGTGAGGAATGTGAGGTGAACTGGTCCCAGTACCACATGCTTGACTTTAAAACACATAAGCCCAGTGAGGAATGTGAGGTGAATTCGTCCCAGTACCACATGCTTGACTTTAAAACACATAAGCCCAGTGAGGAATGTGAGGTGAACTGGTCCCAGTACCACATGCTTGACTTTAAAACACATAAGCCCAGTGAGGAATTTGAGTTGAATTGGTCCCAGTACCACATGCTTGACTTTAAAACACATAAGCCCAGTGAGGAATGTGAGGTGAACTGGTCCCAGTACCGCATGCCTGACTTTAAAGCACATAAGCCCAGTGAGGAATGTGAGGTGAACTGGTCCCAGTACCGCATGCTTGACTTTAAAACACATAAGCCCAGTGAGGAATGTGAGGAGAATTGGTCCCAGTACCACATGCTTGACTTTAAAACACATAAGCCCAGTGAGGAATGTGAGGTGAATTCGTCCCAGTACCACATGCCTGACTTTAAAACACATAAGCCCAGTGAGGAATGTGAGGTGAACTGGTCCCAGTACCACATGCCTGACTTTAAAACACATAAGCCCAGTGAGGAATTTGAGGTGAACCGGTCCCAGTACCGCATGCCTGACTTTAAAACACATAAGCCCAGTGAGGAATGTGAGGTGAACTGGTCCCAGTACCACATGCCTGACTTTAAAACACATAAGCCCAGTGAGGAATTTGAGGTGAACCGGTCCCAGTACCGCATGCCTGACTTTAAAACACATAAGCCCAGTGAGGAATGTGATGTGAATTGTGGTCCCCGTACCACATGCTTGACTTTAAAACACATAAGCCCAGTGAGGAATTTGAGGTGAACTGGTCCCAGTACCTCATGCCTGTCATAAGAGCTGAGGATTGCTATTGATTGAATTGCAAGGTTCAGTGGCTTGGCTCATTGTGTCTGATGACAGGGATTGATGCTCATGCTTTCAGCCACTGGTTTGTCTGGTCAAACTGTATGTACAAGACACACCTTTAGCCCCATATAACTAGTGAGGCATCCCTGAATCTAGTCAAAATGTATGTACAACTAGACACACCCTTGGCTCCATCCAGCCAGTGAGACGTCCCCTGACTCTAGTCAAACCGTATGTACAACTAGAGACACATCTTCTATTCCTACTAGTTAGACCTTACCTTACTTAATTCATTCTGATTCTAGCTACTGTACTACTGGACACTCATGGAGCTTCCATCCTCTCTTAGTCCCCTCCCTCTAGTGTACGTGTGATATACGTTAATTCATTCTTTCTTCTGATTCTAGCCTCTATGTATGTACTACTGGACACACCTGGAGGCCCCGCCCCCCAGCCAGACTGACTCGCCAGGGAAGTTGATGCCCATGTGGCCACCACAGGCAGACGACAGTGACCACGACACAAGGCCATCCCTCAAATACACCGAGCCAGGTGAGTAATGCCATCAATGACAGCCTCCTGTTCTTTTTGAAGGCTCAGTGGAAGGGATATTACATCTGAAACACTGTACCTCCAAGGAGGATAGAGTGCTTTGTCTTGAACATGTCCAGCCAGAGTTCAGATCATTTCATTGGCAACATGATTGGTAGTCCATGGTATGGCTGTTAAGTAACTTTAAAACTTACCCCATTTATCCACTGCAGGACTACTGGAGAAATTAAACTTCCAGATTGATAATGAAAGATGTAGCCACCATTATTTGATTGTTTTCATGAGCTGCTGACACAAGATGAAATGCCATTGGATAGTTGCTGTGGTTTGAGGTAATCATGGTAATAGGTAGTGGCAGGTTTAAGGGCAATTGTTGATTCCTCTGGGTTTGGGTTATGGGAAGAGGTGTGTTTGTGGACAGTGGGTGGTTCCACTTGGTTTGGGTTATGGGTGCTGTCAGTTTTAAGGGCAATGGGTGGTTCCTGTTGTTTGGAGAAGGGTTGTAGCAGGTTTAAGCGCAATGGGTGGTTCCTGTTGGTTGGGGGAGGGGTGGTGGTAGGTTTAAGGGCAATGGGTGGTTCCAGTGGGTTGGGGTTATAGGTAGTGGCAGGTTTAAAGGCAATGGGTGGTTCCTGTTGATCGGGGTTATGGGTTGTGACAGGTTTAGGGGCAATGGGTGGTTCCTGTTGGTTGGGCTTATGGGTGGTGACAGGTTTAAGGGCAATGGGTGGTTCCTGTTGGTTGGGGTTATAGGTAGTAGCAGGTTTGAGGGCAATGGATGATTCCTGGGGCAATTGGTGGTTCCTGTTGGTTTGGAGAGTGGTAGTAGCAGGTGTATGGGCAATGGGTGGTTCCTGTTGGTTGGGGGAGGGGTGGTGGCAGGTTTATAGGCAATGGGTGGTTCCTGTTGATCGGGGTTATGGGTGGTGACAGGTTTAGGGGCAATGGGTGGTTCCTGTTGATCGGGGTTATGGGTGGTGGCAGGTTTAAGGGCAATGGGTGGTTCCTGTTGATCGGGCTTATGGGTGGTGACAGGTTTAAGGGCAATGGGTGGTTCCTGTTGGTTGGGCTTATGGGTGGTGGTAGGTTTAAGGGCAATGGGTGGTTCCTGTTGGTTGGGCTTATGGGTGGTGGTAGGTTTAAGGGCAATGGGTGGTTCCTGTTGGTTGGGCTTATGGGTGGTGACAGGTTTAGGGGCAATGGGTGGTTCCTGTTGATCGGGGTTATGGGTGGTGACAGGTTTAGGGGCAATGGGTGGTTCTTGTTGATCGGGGTTATGGGTGGTGGCAGGTTTAAGGGCAATGGGTGGTTCCTGTTGATCGGGCTTATGGGTGGTGACAGGTTTAAGGGCAATGGGTGGTTCCTGTTGGTTGGGCTTATGGGTGGTGGTAGGTTTAAGGGCAATGGGTGGTTCCTGTTGGTTGGGCTTATGGGTGGTGGTAGGTTTAAGGGCAATGGGTGGTTCCTGTTGGTTGGGCTTATGGGTGGTGACAGGTTTAAGGGCAATGGGTGGTTCCTGTTGGTTGGGCTTATGGGTGGTGGTAGGTTTAAGGGCAATGGGTGGTTCCTGTTGGTTGGGCTTATGGGTGGTGGTAGGTTTAAGGGCAATGGGTGGTTCCTGTTGGTTGGGCTTATGGGTGGTGACAGGTTTAAGGGCAATGGGTGGTTCCTGTTGGTTGGGCTTATGGGTGGTGACAGGTTTAAAGGCAGTGGGTGGTTCCAATTGGTTTGGGGAGGGGTAGTAGCAGGTTTAAGCGCAATGGGTGGTTCCAATTGGTTGGGGGAGGGGTAGTAGCAGGTGTAAGGGCAATGGGTGGTTGCTGTAGGTTGGAGTTATGGGTGGTGACAGGTTTAAGGGCAATGGATTGGCATTATTAATGTATGGAAGTTTTGAATATGATGTATTGTGTCTGTTGTTTACAGTCATTGGCATGATTGGTGGTGTACATTTAAAGGAAGTGGGTAGAAGGTGGATGTTTAGCTATAGGTACAAAGCAGAATTCAACGCACAATTGATGTCCCCTTATTGATTCGCAACTGTGACTGTCCATCAGAATATCTTCATAAATGCATCATGAAGTGCTGTAAATATATGAAAGCAATGTATTGTTGGATAAATCAGCATTTGGTTGAGACTCCTTTGTTGAATAAAATACTGATAAATGGGTCTTATGTAAATGTCATTCTGTAGTTCTGTAGAGGATATTTCTATGACAATGAAAAGTGCCATCTTATCTGATCACATGACTTGGTCATTCTTGCTCTTGGTTTTCAACTAAGTTATAAACCTCCAGTAATATCACAGTGGGAGACACCAGAAAAGGGCTTCACACATTTTACAAAAGTGGGGAATCAAACGCGGGTCTTTCACATTATGATTACGAAAAAATGCTTTAACCTCTAGGCTACCCCACTGCCCCCTCCCTCATTATGCTGAGATGCAGTGATATTTTTTAAATACTGTTAAAAGTGGTTAAATCCAACCCACACTCACTCACTCACTCACTCACTCACTCATGGATTGTCCCAAGATCCAGCCAATACACAAATAGTCTCTTTTGACATGAACATAAAGTTTTCTTTTCTTTTCCTTATCATAAAGATAAAGTGAATGATACGAATAGTGATTTTTCAGTGTGTCACACGTGTGGAATCACTGTTAGGGTTTACTTTATTTCAATCATTGAAGTGTAACAATTAGCCAGAGGCCCTTAAAGATACAGTCATCCTACAATCATGATGCACAAGGATGGTAAAGCAATAAAGGGCATATCACAGTGATATATCACACAGTGGTGGGAGAGTGTATCTGAAGGGTAGTTGACCCATTTCATTGGCTGTCTGTAACAGTGCTTACAACTCCATGATTCAACAGTGTAACTGTGCTCTTCAAGGGACAAATTGCACATAATCAGCAGTAATTTACCTAATTATAGTAGGTTGGGTAGGATTTGTCTGTAGCACATGGCTGTCATGGCGGGGGAGTTGATCCTGAACGGGAAGTTGTTTGGAAGTTTACGATTACGGAGATGTGCTGTTCGTGTTTGAGTGATACATGCAAGGCAGGCTATGCGATATAGGATTATACACCAGGGAGACTGCCAACAGGAATCAATATGATCGTACAAGGAACCATTCACTTAACAGTGGAACTTTGTGTTTTTTGTAACAAGTTTGTTTGACTTTGTTGATTGTTCATATGTCAGAAAGCTGGCAGAAAGTTCATGGATTTATTCTTTGATTGTCTTACTCACTTTCTGATGTCTGTGAAATGACAGATATCTGTGGACTTTATAACAGAATGGAGAATTTATATATGTGAGGATTCCTGTGAATTTGGTTTTTAAGTTGTAGTTGTGTAATTGATGATGTGTCTATGTGTTAGATCTCCTGGACACTGGGATGAGATCTGTGACCACGATAACACAGCCATGTGACATTGAGAGATGTAGGAGCAGAGATGCAGCCACAGCATTTCATTAGATGATTATTGTCAACAAAATCTGGTGTCATTTAGAATTCAGAATAGGACCCTAGTGACTCGGGTCAGATATGGATCTAATATTGCCCTATTGTTATCTCCTGATTACATACAGTTAAAGCAAAGGAAACTTTTACATAGGAGCATGAGGAAGTGGTAACTGTAGTTTGTTTGGATTTGCCTATCTACAACCTGGAGCATTGACCTAGAAAATGTTTTCCTGGGAAAATTGTGAACCAAAGAGGAAGTGTTGATTGTTTGAGGTTGCTTGGATACATTGTCATACCTTGAAATGATCAAATAACCAAATTAATACAGAACATCAGAATAATGTATTCAGTACGTGACTTTCTATGAGTCCTCCGCCAATGGTGAACCAGGCCACAGTGTCAGGGTGTCCAGGAGAGGTCAAGATGACCAACCAGGTGGTAGTAGAGACTCTAGTGAGGAACATCAACTGGACGCAGTGCGTGAGTGAGGTGGTGCATGAGGTTGCAGCTGCAGTCCCTCCAGACCCTCCAGACCCTCCAGACCCACCAGGTAGTCTCGAACTTCTACTGCTGTCATCACTGATGTATTGTAGCAAGCTGCTTCTCACGATTATATGACAGGGCAAGGTGACCAAGTGGTGTAAGGCACTTCACGCTACCCTGCAGTGTTATGTCCCTTTGTTTCCAGGATCTGCTGGTGCTGATTGTGGGTGTCTGAATCAATGATTCTTCAAGAGCTTGTGGGTCTTATCAAAGCTGTAAACATCTACGACCAGCATCTGGGTGTAATTTCCGCCATCATTAAATGCTAACGCTGTGATCAAACCGAAATACTGTTGAAACAGCATTGAACCCCATGTCACTCACTCACTCATAGTCTAACCCTATCTGAGAATCCAGTTTTGGATGGGTGGATTGTTGTTCACTCTGTCAACCACTGGTCGGCTTGGCATAAATTACTGGCTGACGTGATATAGGTTGAATATGACTGACTGCAGCACAGCACATCCTGTCACACACCCCTTGGGTCCCCAAACATAAAACATTGTTCTATCATGAGGTCATTTCTGGAGAATCAAATATGCTTTCACGACTTGATGATGTCATACATTGGATGACGTTATTTTTGAGAGGGAAGTGTCTAGTAAGTTGTTCTCCATAGATGTAGCTGGGCTACGCAGATAAACACAGTGGCTGAACAGTTACATCCAAAAGTGGGAAAGATATGATAATTGGTATTAGGAGAAAAGGTACAGGTAATCGACGTGAGGATTTTGAGAATATGTGGGAAATACCAAACTTAACCCACCTGTTTGTTAAATGGATTTGTCCGACATTTCTGAGGTTGGATTCTATTCAGTGAGTTATCATTGTTAAAATTTGGGTAGATATTGAGAGCTTGTACATTTTATCAACACCCTTAAGGAGGCTGTACATAATGGTGACATCACATATAAGAAATAGATGACTCGTGGTCCTTGTTTATCGTACAATAAAACACTGCAGGGAGAATAAACCACCCCTCTTGGTTTATTCTCCCTGCAGTGTTTTATTGTATGATAAACAACGACCACGAGTCGTATATTTCTTAAACAAACACGCCTTCCTGTGCACATGTGGTGCGTCCTGTCCTTACCATGTGTTTGTGTTCCAGAACACCAGGCAGCCATGGTCCAGATGCGCCATGACTACAAAGAAGACATTGAACTGGTCAAGGTAAGTTTCCATGTCATACTCGTGTCAATATGATGTCCACATTATGATAAAATATGCACAGCTGATAGTACAGACCAAATGGTGCCACAGTTTGGTTGGTGGCCATGGTAAGTTGATGCACCATCACCATGTCTACCAGCTGTTATGGATCTATAATTGCTAATGTATAACACAATCTAGTCATCTAGCTTCCTTTTATTTTAAGACATGATTTGAAATCAATTACAAGTTATGTCTCTTCTGTGCCCCTCCTATTGACCAATCAGATTCCACCTCTCATATGACTTGCAATTGCTTCAAACAAAATGGCGGCACCCAGTTCAAGACGTTCTGATAGATGATCAAGATCTATATTGTAATGAAACGGGTCTTACCTCTTGAAATTCATCAAATCACGTAACCGCCTTGATTAAAAACAAGAAAATATTTGGAACATATCTGTCGACGCCCAGTTGGCGGTACATATCCTTTGCAAAACCTGCAGTCGACTAAAATCTGCATTTTGAAATCCATGTTGTTTATGAACCTGAGGTAGATTTTGTTAGACGATTTTGATTGGATTGTGCATTGACTTGTTGGTCCAGCGAAAATAAAACTCCATAATTCCAACCTAGTTTGGCAAGGGTGGAAACTGGAATTATAGAGTCAGTTAACCCCCTTGCCTCAGAATACAGATGTGGTATTTATCTAAAACTTCCTATTCCGAATCTCCGGAAATCTTACAATATAAATATGATTGAAGACACAGATGTTCCGAAAACCTATGTGTGTCAATTTGATAGTAAAGGAAACTTGAATTGTTTTAATGTCAGGAGTGTTCCTGTACAGTAGGCTAAAATTTAGTCCCAGAAATAAATTTATTCACATTGAAAAACATGTCTTCAAAATGAAAAATATAATTCAAATGAAGCCCAGAACAATGCATAATTTCATCCTAGGGCTGAGGAAATCTAGACTTGCCAAAACATTTTGAACATGAGTTGGATTCCGTGTTTAACTTCTTCTCTGGGAGACAGACTACCTGTACAGGGAATCTGGGATTTATGGTTGTGCTGCCTCAGGTGAATGACTTTTTTAATTTCAACATTCATTTGTGAGGGACAGACAATCTGTTATGTCTAGTTGGGAGTAGTAGATTGTTCTATATATTCGTCTCCATTCTGGGAAAATGTAGAAAATGGTGCCATCCCGGTTACAAGTAGAGATATCGGCTCTGTCTGTGATGTCATGAACAATGGAGTCATCTTCAGTTATGGGTTGATATGACATCACATTTTATGGGCCACTTTACTAACTGAGAAAACAAAGGAACAATTAATATGAAGTAGCCAATCAGCATGAAGCAAAAAATATTATGCTCAGTGAGAATTATGGAAAATAATTTCACCGACAGTCATGCCCCTATTGGTGTTCCTGGTAAAAGTATAATAAATAATATTTAGTGTTGTTGGAAATGGACAAATTGATTGCATTTCTGTATGGGAGTGGAATGTTCCATCGCCTTTGGGTACATGTTAGTTTAATTACGTCTAGAAATCATGTGACTTAATGAATGTAATTCTGTAGGTCAGCCCTGCGTGATTCATAATGCACACATTGTATATTGGTCTGTAGGACATTAATAACTCCCATTATGCCAATTATCTCATTGAGTTTGCATATTTCCTTGGTGCTTGGAGCCACTACTGTCATTTATTGCACTGGCACCGAAGGTTGGGAAGAATAATTTGAAGGAAGGTTCTTTTGGATCAAACATTAGCTGGGACTCAATTTGGATTGCATTTGGAATATGTGGAAGTTTGCATTGTTTATGTGATCTTTGTCTCTGAAACAGTAGCATTGTTGTGTTTTGTAATGTTGATGATGATTAATCAAATAGTGTTATCAGTTCATGTGTTACGAGATAGATCCTCTTTCTGCAGTGTAATGATGGGTTCTTCCAGGTAGGTTCTCATAGGTAGTAGTTTTGTATTTCTTTGGGTCTGTTCAGTTCTGTTCAGTTCTGTTGTTTCCGTGTTATTGATTTATTATGAGGCAGATTTACGACACATACAGTTGACTCACATTATCTGGAACTGAAGACACCTAAGCCACATTCAAATGAATATTCTTGGTTCTTAAATGTATATAGCCAAGTGGTTAAAGCGTTCGTCACACCGAAGACATATGTACAATGTTTGAATCCCATTTCTGGTGTCCTCCGCCATGATATTGCTGGAATATTGCTAAAAGCGGCGTAAAACAATACTCACTCTTAAACTTATATGTTTTAATATGGAAGTTTTGCTTGCAATTTCTTTGTCAGCTTGTTGCATGTCAACATGTACACTATCAACCCTTACATTCACTGTTCAAAAAGAACTCAAAAATTAATGACTTGGAAGAAAAAGCCTGAAGTTGTAAGTGTTGATAAGGAGACCATTGAACTAGCTGTTGGCTGCATTCTTTGTAGAGTGATTCCTTGGACTGATGTTGGCTAGACAAAATGGCAGTTTTTAGTATGAATATAAAAATAATTGTACACCAAACAGTGATCCCTTAGAAGTGTGGTTGGTAAAATGATATGAATGAGATGAGAGAGAAAGATGCTGATGGGACTGTACTTGGAAGACAATGAGTTATCACCCTTCCCAGTTTGGTCTTCTTTAGTGTTTATGTTTGTTTTCTAACTATGAAAACAAACATGACATGATTTGGTCAAAATTGTATTTCTTTCACAGTTGTGAAATATTTGGTTGATCCACAAGCCAACGAATACATATTAATGAATTTGAATTAGTAAGTTGAGCCAGCTGTATCATGCAATGTCAAGCCATGTATTTTATGCTAGTCCATTTCGATCATTAAACTTTTAGTATTTTCTTTCATCAAATAATCTTTTAAACTGATCAAGTTTCATTGATGTATTGAGATATTTTACAGGCTGTTTTATGACCTGCAGGTTTTCCTTCAGTGTACCATGTGTTCTGTGACAAAGAATATTGTACATTACCAAAGTTGCTCAATAGTTTGCCATCATATGAAAACAATGACATCAGTTTGGGCGATATCCCCTGTCAATATAAAAAGTAATCAAGTTCGAGATAACAAGAGTCAACTGTATAAATGTGCACAAATACAGATGGAAAATATGTGGTTTAGCTGTGTAAGGGTTAATACGGTTAATCTGAGGCGGCAGAACACCTGTTGCCTGCCACCTGATGTGGTTAATGACAGCTACCATCGATACCTCAGACAATTCTGTGTCCTCAGGGTTGGACTTTCATTGTTGAGGGCCACTGGTTCGATTCCTTTTTTTCCAAATACATGAACCTGGTTTAGGATTAACATGGGATTACTTAACAGTAAACTGCTCCAGATACAGGTATGTGGCCATGTTTCCATCAATGTGCGCAATAGTAATAGTGTATGTTATCATGGATATGTATGGTGGTCCGGTCACTGTGACAAGTGAATGATTCACTGTATTGTCTGTGTTGGAATGTCATCATTTTATGTTTCTCTAAACATAGTGTTGATGATGATGGACTGTTTTTTTTGTAATTTTTTAAAAGATTTCTGTATGAAATATTTTGAATTCAAGTTTGTTTACTTCATTTGACTTTTTGTTTTTCTTACTTGTTTATGGATCTGTTGGTCCTAACTTTCGTTAATGTGGATCATTATTAAAATTTTGAGACAAGAATTTTTTGCCCTTTTGGTCAATGAGGACAAAATCCGTTTAATTGGATGAGTAGGTACCCCTGTAGATCCGGGTGCAGGTTAGAATAGATCTTTAACCCCATATCGCCTCACCTGCTCTTCAGCAACCCATGCTTGTCGTAAGAGGCTACTATTGGGATCTGGTGGTCAGGCTCACTGTCTTGGCTGACTTGGTATGATGTCATTCACTGGATTGTCTGGTCCAGACTCGTTTATTTACAGACCGCCGTCACATAGCTGGAATATTTCTGAGTGCGGCTCTAAACAACAAACAGAAGATAAGAAGGATTGAGAGGCAAAGAGAATTAACTTTTTGTCCTGTCAGAATAATAACACCTTTACTTGTTTTCTTTCTTTAACCTGTAAACAATACTTCTGAAAGATGATTTAAATACCAACCCTATTGGTTTAGCAAGGAAATTACAAAATGTAGACCTTAGTTTAATATCAGCATTAGAAATTGGCACTAGTCCTGTACTCCTTGCCAAGCTGCCAATTACCATGAATAGTTAAGGTATCATTAGGACTAGTGGAAATTTGCCATTTTTAAGAGTTTTGCTATATGTTATCATTGTAAGGACTAGTGGACTGAAACTGTTAGTTTCTACCACTGAATATGGTAACACCTTTGCCATTTTTATTCTGGAAACATGCTTACATATCTTGAGGATTGAGGATTCAGGGATACAAAATGTTCTTTTTTTTTATCCATCGTATATTTATTGTTTCATCAATTTGATCAATTTAGTGTACACATTAGTATGACCACTTCTTTATCATGCTCATGAGAATACCCATAATTAAATTCATTTCATTGTCAAGATTAGGTTACAAATCTATGTTGGTTGGCATCATGTGCAGTAAGTGGGGTATGCTTGTAGCATCATTATTGACTTTGTTGATCAATGCCTTGTCTGCCGTTGGTGCCAGTGGGAGGAGTAGACCATTCCTGAATTACTCAGCAGTTGTAGGATTATCTCTTTGTACAGTACTGCCTGGAACTGTGTTAAATTGTCTTCAGACAGTCAGCAGACAGCTTGCAGGCAGTAGGGTCAGGTTGTTCCATTGGTTGCAGTTATGAAGCAGATATCTAGTGTAGGGTCTCAGGAGAACATGGAACGACATGGGCTGCTATATAGCTTTTTAGATGATCTTTAATTTAGGCTGGAATCGGTAAAGAGATTACAAGAAACCCTGGCGTCCCGTGAAGCAGTTCTTTGATTGCGCCTTGAGTCTACTCCCACACAGCCAACATGGGCTTGACTTGTGGGAAGGGAAAGGCTGTACAGGTTTGTGTTGGTTGTGCATGTTAGTTACAGCATGCGGGGAGGATTTATGACTTTCATCTTCACTGACAGAACTGGTGGAAAAGTTTTTTTGTAAATTTAGGTGACATTTCTGTGGATCAGTTTTGTCTTTAATCTTCATGCGGTTTTGCAGATGGATGGATTTGACAGATATAGTTGACATTTTAAAATTGCTGTTGTGTTTTCATAGAGCTAGATGGTGATCACCATAGCTGGTGGGACAGGTTATTGGAGGCTTTGGTCTGGTGTGGGGGCATGGGTGGCTCATAGGTCTAATGTCAATGTTGAAGAGTTGCATCCGTTAGCATTGCCAGGATCTGCTGTTGGCGAGTTCAAATCCAAGATTGGCCCTCTTTATTGTACACCATATTAGTGCTTGTGAACTTCACCAAACATGATAAACATTGAGCTGTTTAAAGGAAAGTAAACTCAGGCACTCAGTTGTTAATATTGTGTCCAGTTGTTTGTTTGTTTGTTTGTTTATTTCTTGTTTAACGCCGCACTCAGCAATATTCCAGCTGTATGACGGCGGTGTGTAAATAATCGAGTCTGGACGAGACAATCCAGTGAATGACATCATGAGCATAGATCCACGCAATTGGGATACGATGATATGCATCAACCAAGTCACCGAGCCTGACCACTCTATCCCGTTTGCCGCCTCTTACGACAAGCATAGTCACCTTTTATGGCAAGCATGGGTTGCTGAAGACCTATTCTACCCCTGATCTTCATGGGTCGTGTCCAGATATCATACTGGAGATTCGTACTGAACATGCTGAAGGTGTTGTTAGAGGTTTTTGAAGACTATATCTTTTCCTGTACAATTTAGAATTATCCTTAGACATGTTAGACATGTTAGACTTTGAGTGAATACTGCTAGACTCCATGTAATACCTTATGAAGTCATGTTCTGTTCATAGTCAGGACCCCTGCGTTATTTTAACACTGCTTATTTTATTTCAGTGTTTTATGTTAATTCTGCCATTGGCATGACATGTTTTTTGGTTTATTGACTGTTTTTGTAAGTACTATTGCCTCTATGCTAAATAAATCGTCTGACGTACAAATAATATTCTGCTTGTATTAATAATCTTCATGCAGCTGCTAGGCTTTTACTTCTAGTATTGTCGTCATAAAATTAATGAAACCATATATATCCATCGTTGCTGTGACTATGTGGATCTCTTAATAGTATTTTAACATTGAAATACTACTTGATCTGGTCAATCTTTAACTTTTTTGTTTTGGAACTGAAAGTGCTGTTGAATGTAATGCATAAGTCCAGTTTTAAACTATTTTCTAAGTTAGTTCTAGTATTCAAGTATTCTAGTATTATCAAGTTAGTTTAGGTACAATACAGAGCCCCCATGAAGAACTGGGCTCGAATTGGTCTTCAGTACACGCCTCTGTGGTCTAGTGGTAAAGCATCCTCTGGGAGAGTGGAGAGTGAGACATTAAAAGATGGTACTTGTTGTTACCTTGCCAGGCAATCGGCATAAAGGGGATAAAACAAGGACTGGTCGGCTCGGAGTATACTGTGTATACAATGTCTGATTGGGGTGTTCATGTTTAACTGTGGCATTGTATGTCAGTGGGTTGATTGCATGTCATCATAGCCTGATGGCATGGATTGTTGCTCACAATATCAATCACTGGACTGTCTGATCTAGACTTGAATATTTACAAGCTATCGTCATAGCTTATATATCGCTGAGTGCATCCTTAAACAACACACAAACTATACCAAATCTCTGTCTAGCTATATTGGCATTCATACAAAATATGTTCCTCTTTATTGGTACTGTATATTTATCAAGTTGAATGAAAGTGAGTTTACAGCAGTAAGTGCCCACTGCCTGCAGTGTACAAATTGTATCAGGCATCACAGCATGCCAGCAGCTGGGACAGGGCTGAAACTGTCCTGTATTGATTTGTGGGATGTTACAGATTTAGAAAGTGACAACTCTGCAGTTTATTCATTTAGTGAGTCTTTGTTCACAGTTTGTTATGTTTAGATACTGTGACTGTGCAGATACTGATTCAGTTTTGTGTTGTGGGATTTCTGGCCTGAATGTTGACATGTCATTAATAGTTTATTTGTTCAACCATTCATCAGGAAACAATCAGTTGAAATTACTGTTTAGAGAAGACACTGAAAATGGCCCTGAAAATTACTTACCGTATTCGACGTAATAAGCGCCCAGGATGCTCTCAAAATTAGAAATGGGGGACTCTTATTAGAATATAATTTTAGTGAGAGAAAAACAGAATTGAAAGATCGTAAATTTCATTGTTTATGCTGACAGCCCGAAATGATACAAAAGAAAAGTATGTGCATATTATACACGACAGATATATTTTCCAGAATTTAATTGCCCATAATTAAGAGTGCATATATCACACGAGTGGGTATTATACACGAATAAATAAGTCTTGTGTACATTGATCAATCCGAAGGGGTGCTAATTGGGATTGTTCACTAGCCAATATATTAGCAAATATCGCCATCGCTTATTAGAGCGGGGCGCTTATTAGGTCGAATACGGAATTTAGGTTTCACTGTTTCTGTCACTCATTTTTGTTTTATCATTCTTACTTTTTGTACTGCTTTACATGTTTAATACAGCTCAGACATATTTAGTCTATGATGAACATTTACATGTCTAATGCTTTACATTACATGTCATGGTTAGTGAAGTTGCAGATACTTTAACATGGATTTATGACAGTAGTATCTGGGGCTGGGATGGATGGGTAATTCAGGTACTCGGGTTGGGTGGGTCCTGACTAGGACCCGGGTACCCACATGACTACCCGAACCCATGGTTAGTCATGTTATATACTGTTTAATGACATTAACAATAAAACTCAATGGTTATGCTACAAGTATAGCTAATGTTCACATTTCTTTCTCACTATGCAGGCATTCGTTCTGACTTTTATATGTTCCAGTAAGGATAAAGTGTCTATCCACTGCAGAGTATACATGATCAGATCGTTTTACATGTGTATCTAAATAGTTTTTGCCAGGGCTGCGGTAAAACAATTCCCATTCGGACATTTTGTACCCAACTCTTTAGACCTATAGCGGGTATCCGGGTAGGGCAGGGTAATAGGGTGTCAGGTACCTGGGTAGTAAATTTGGACTCATCCCAGCCCATGTAGTATCACTAAGATATGTTTTGTGGTATGAGGCCTAAGGTATTGTTCCACATTTGACCTTAGTACTACAACTGTTGTTATACCATAACCCTACAAAAGTTGTAGGTCAAATATCAATTTGGGACTGATGCTGTGGTCTTATAACATGTACATTGATGTTGCTCTTCTTGATGTACATCATCCGTCACTCATCTGTCCTACCATTGCACTCTGCCTGCAGAAGGAGCACCAAGTGGAACTGGAGAGGTGTAGACATGACTATGAACATCAGATTCAGGAGTGCCACACAAAGATTCTGCATCTTCAGCAGGAGGTGGAGAAATATCAAGTCATTGCAGGAATTGAAAAACTTACGCAGGCTGCTCTCTCCGATGCCGAGGCTGCTAGGAAGGAGGCAGGTTTGGGGGACAGGGTGAGCCTGCATCTCACCAATGGCTTCCTGACGCCAGAAGATGGTGTGGGTGAGAGGATCATTGCTGTGACTGCAACCCCCCAACAGACACCTTCCACGTATCACACCCCTGCAGCTACACCCGAGTGCCTTGGGAAGGATCAACTAGTGCAGTATTTGTCAGAAGCATCTCCTGAGAACAACCATCCCTTACACCCCCCTTCAGAACTTGTGCCTTCACCCCAGGGGGTTGGGCTTGATGAGGTCACTCCTCCCAGACCCTATCATCCTGCAGAGATGTCTGTTGCTCCTGGGGGTCCTCCTCCTCCCCCTCCTCCCCCACCACCTCCTCCACCCCCAGGACAAGGTGGACCACCCCCACCTCCTCCTCCACCTCCACCACCTGGTGGGGGTCCGCCTCCCCCTCCCCCACCCCCTCCTGCTCCAGGGATGGGACCTCCACCACCACCTCCGCCTCCTGGAATGGCTATCAAGAAAGGTGAGTTCACTGACAGTGTGAAACTCTCTTCTTGCAAATCATGCTTTTGAAACGTTGAACAGCTAATGTTGTGACTCAAAGCATAGGGTATGATAAGGGCATTTTTTAGCTCACTGGAAATGTCAAATTTTAGGGAAAACTTTTGTCATAATGCCTCATAATGGTATGAAACTTATCAGACATGTTCAAATGGTTGACATCATGCCATTTTCTGTCTTACACTTGCAATGTTTTCTGGCATCTTAAAGTAAATAAGAATGACTAAAATGAGAGAAAGAGGAGAATGTATTCTAACTTCAAGAAAAAATGTAACTACGAGCAACTCTTTATCTACATCCCCTAAGAAAGTAAACTTGGGTCAAATATTAAAAAAAATATACTTCCTTAAAAATATCTTAAATCAGCATTTTCGATCAGCGTTTTTCAGCAAGGTTTAGCTTACATTTAGTGTTGTTTAGAGTCCCAAACATACACATGTTGAAATTAACAGTCTAGCTTTCATTCATATGAACTTTCATAACAGTTCCTAAAAGTTTTGCCCTTTGCATAAATTATGCAGATCTTGTGGGCCGAAAAGGACCCTTATCATACATTGTCCTTTGATCATCCAGCAATATAGCTGTACCGTAGAGGACACGCTGGTAACTGTTCATTTGTCATATATAGTGCCAATATCTGGCAGCCATGTTTGTCTACCACTCTCAGCATTTTGGGAACATTTGTCATTAGTTTATTGACAAAGAAGGCATTGCATCAATGAATCAAACTTGAAAGTAGTTCCTTCTAGGCAACCTCATTTGCATATTTATCAGATAGTGATACCAAGTTTATCAGATTGGCTTATCACATTAACAACACTAGACATTATATGATAAACAGCTATAAGCTGGAACACTTTGGGCTTTCCTCTCTCATTAAGCCCACTCCATTACTGACTTTTTTTATAGTGTCTATGGCTGTAATACTATTTAACTTTCACAACTCAGTCTAAACATTTGCCTCCATGTTTTATAACATCCCAGGTCCAATGAAGCCAGTTGTCAGCCCTAAGTCACCGATGAAACCCCTGTTCTGGCAGCGACTACAGGTCCATGACATCAAGAACAAACACAAGGAGTAAGTACCAGTGGTTAGGATAACAGGGAAATATGATCAGTTATTACAACCAGTGATTATAACATCAGGACACAAACACAAGGAGTAAGTACCAGTGTTTAGGATAATAGGGAAATATGATCAGTTATTACAACCAGTGATTATAACATCAGGACACAAACACAAGGAGTAAGTACCAGTGTTTAGGATAATAGGGAAATATGATCAGTTATTACAACCAGTGATTATAACATCAGGACACAAACACAAGGAGTAAGTACCAGTGGTTAGGATAACAGGGAAATATGATCAGCTATTACAACCAGTGATTATAACATCAGGACACAAACACAAGGAGTAAGTACCAGTGGTTAGGATAACAGGGAAATATGATCAGTTATTACAACCAGTGATTATAACATCAGGACACAAACACAAGGAGTAAGTACCAGTGTTTAGGATAATAGGGAAATATGATCAGTTATTACAACCAGTAATTATAACATCAGGACACAAACACAAGGAGTAAGTACCAGTGGTTAGGATAACAGGGAAATATGATCAGTTATTACAACCAGTAATTATAACATCAGGACACAAACACAAGGAGTAAGTTCCAGTGTTTAGGATAATAGGGAAATATGATCAGTTATTACAACCAGTAATTATAACATCAGGACACAAACACAAGGAGTAAGTACCAGTGTTTAGGATAATAGGGAAATATGATCAGTTATTACAACCAGTAATTATAACATCAGGACACAAACACAAGGAGTAAGTACCAGTGTTTAGGATAATAGGGAAATATGATCAGCTATTACAACCAGTAATTATAACATCAGGACACAAACACAAGGAGTAAGTATTGGTGTTTAGGATAACAGGGAAATATGATCAGTTATTACAACCAGTGATTATAACATCAGGACACAAACACAAGGAGTAAGTATTGGTGTTAAGGATAATAGGGAAATATGATCAGTTATTACAACCAGTCATTATAACATCAGGAGACAAACACAAGGAGTAAGTACCAGTGTTTAGGATAATAGGGAAATATGATCAGTTATTACAACCAGTCATTATAACATCAGGACACAACCACAAGGAGTAAGTTCCAGTGTTTAGGATAATAGGGAAATATGATCAGTTATTACAACCAGTCATTATAACATCAGGACACAACCACAAGGAGTAAGTTCCAGTGTTTAGGATAATAGGGAAATATGATCAGTTATTACAACCAGTCATTATAACATCAGGACACAAACACAAGGAGTAAGTACCAGTGTTTAGGATAATAGGGAAATATGATCAGTTCTTACAACCAGTCATTATAATATCAAAAACAATCACAAAGAGTAAGTATTGGTGTTAAGGATTATATTTAATAATGACCAGGTCGTTACAACTAGTCATTTCGATATCAGGAACAATGATAACAAATATGTACTGGTGTTATGGTTTACATGAAACCATCTATCAATATTGATTGGTTTTATAGTTTGAAGAGATTCTTGACCATCGGGAAAAAGTCGTAGTGATAAAAAATGCAGCCTTTCTCACTCCGACAAATTAGAGAATTAGGACATGCTTCTATCAGTATTGTGTAAAGGTAGTGCTTGATATGAGCAGAATAACAAATGTTTTATTTGTCATCAGGCCTTGTCTCATTTGTTTTTAGTCTGCGCTGTTGTTAATGGAATTGGGTGATCAGGCTCGTTGACTTGGTTGATCGTGTTGGTTGATACATGTCATCGTATCCCAGTTTCGTAGATCGATGCTCATGATGTCAGTCACTGGATTGTCTGGTCCAGACTCTATACTATAGCCAATAATTTCAAGACTATGGGACCCTCTTAACTTCAATTCACAATATATTATGATACTTGTAGTATTTCTTCAGTGGTAGTTCAGTAGTGGTAGTTTAGTAGTGGTAGTATTTTGATGATGTGCCACAAATTGAAAATTCCAATTGTGCAAAACACTGATCAGCCACTAAGTGGAGATATTTCACTCATTCAATCCTGTCATGTAGGTTGAAGGATAGCAATCTGTTCTGGGAGACAGTCAAGGAACCTATCGTGGACTTTGATGAGTTTGATGACATGTTTGCCAAGAAGCCATTGGAACCTAAGAAGAAGGCAGCATCCAAGCCAAAGGAAAAGACAAAGAAAGAGGTCAGATCCAGTTTTAGATGAGAACCATTTGGTTGTGATTTGAACGTGATGAGTGTATGCTGTGCCTGATGGGAACTGGGATGTCACTGGTGGGGCAGGATGTGCCCGGTCACCTTCTTAGCAACTTCCTGGTAACATCACTATTTGATAGTGATTCTTAAACATATGCTCATGATGTAGTCGGAATCATACAATGGACTCTGCTTTAAGCAGAGAATTCTGATGACTATGGAAAGGCTTTTGTCACTTTTATTTCTTAATAATTGTTATTCAGTTGTATACGCTGTGATGTCTTCAGGTGGTGAAGCTGCTGGATTCCAAGAGGTCACAGGCTGTTGGCATCTTCCTGTCAAGTCTCAGACTAGAGATGCAGGATATAGAAAACGGTCAGTTTCTTATCATAGATCGAACCTAATATTTGCACACTAGTTAAGAATATGGAACAAATCCAACAATGAATGATTTGATATCTTCATACTGAGACTGTTCCAAATTTCGAAAAGGAAACAAGTTAGTCCAGGTCCTGTCCCTGTCTTTTGAAGTCTTGAAGTTGCTCTATTGTCATGTACTTTGCTACAGATATTGGATGTTGAAGTTTCTTCATGTAATCTACTCCTCCAGGAAGTTGTGTGTTTTCAGATATTTTCTCTTTGAATTTTTTTTGTAATTTTATCAATCCTGATTGCGAGAAACATGATATAGAATTCGTTTTAGCATTTCATGTAACAAAGTAGAGGACATGTAATTAAGACAGAATCTTGATAGTACATGTTGACTTACAAAACTTTCTGCTTTACAGCTATTTTGAATCTTGACACTTCGGTGCTGGACCAAGACAAACTCAAAGCAATATATGATAGTGTAAGTAGAACACTACTTGATGTATCTTCCCTCCAGTATTGATAAATATGTGTGTTTCGTTTGTAACTGTGATTCATGTGTATGCACCAGTAACACTAGGCATCTTGCTGACATAGTCCAGTGACCTACAGAGCCTTGTGACTCTAGTTTCTATCTGCTACCAAAGGATTTACCTTAACTGTTTATTGTGTCTCCCAAAGAGAGGAATGTACCTGAAGCTCTGTCCTGTGATCCTTAATGCACAGCGTTAGAAATTAGCACTAGTCCTGTAGTCCTTACCAAACTACCCAATAGTAAAGGTATCCTAAGGACTAGTAGAAATTGGCCCATTTTAAGGGTTTTGCTATATGTTATCATTATAAGGACAAGTGGACAAAAACTGTTAGTTTCTAACCCTGAATTGCAGCCATTAATCCTCTCCTTTCAGCGACCTGACGATGATGAGTTAAAGAAGATCAAGAAGCATTTTGACAAGAACCCTGATGCAACCCTAGACAAACCAGAACAGTGAGTGGAGTGTTGCCTCAGTCTGTAGATATAGTATGATCTGAGATGAACCTGGGTCCGTCTATCTATTTGTGAATCCTGGGTAATGTGGAGGTCCAAGGCCTAAAAATGGGAATTCAAATTAACCATGGTGATCTACTTGATGTGTACAGGCTTATGACGTGAGGCACACTTGACTGTTGTCACAACACTGTGCATGCTCTGAAGGCCTGTGCTGGTTGATAATTATTTCCGGTTTGAAATGAATTTTGGTGGTATTTAGTAAATCGTAAGTGGAAAGTCTGAGCTTTGATTGTATTTCTTATCAGAATGGAAATGCTACAATTAAATTAGTTTGTAGGACACAGTGCATATTATTTGTGTTTTTTCTTAACTGTGTTGGATAGTATGACAATGATTGGCGTCCCGTAAAATACTGGTTGCATGCTGATTTTTTGTTCAGTGGAGAATATCACGATATTGTCAATGATTCTAAAAAGCAGATGTGACCAACATGAGCTTTGATAGTCTCTTTGAAATATGCCATGAGAGGTGAAGAAAGTTAAATATACTACTCAAAAGAAGTTAAGGACCACCTGATTCTTTCATATTAGTATAGTTAATCTGTCATGACATGAATGGTTAACTATAATGATATGAAAGAATTGGTTGTTCCTCAACTTCTTTTGAGTAGCATATTAACAGGCCCTGTTCACACACAGATGGTGTGCTAAAAACATTGTCACACTAGATCACAGAACACACAAATTTCAAGCTGATCAGCATATACATGAGAATGAGTATACAGCACAAGCATACATTTCCAGCCGTCCTGCTCTACCAGGTATCCTGTCACTGTATGAGGAAGAGATATACTTCGCTGCAGCCCCTTGCCTCACGAAACATTCCATGACTGTGAACCTTGATTGCATTCGTTTCCTTTCAGATTTTTCCATGATCTGACGCAGATCCCTGACTACGACAGTCGGATCTTCTGCTTCATCTTCCAGTCTTCCTTTGAGGAGAGCATGTCTGTGATAGATTCCAAGCTGAACAACCTCAAGATGACCTGCAAGGTGAAACCCTGAAGATAATTATAGCTGATTAAGATTTGACCTATAAACTATATAGATCCTTTGGCGTTCAGATGAACTACCTTCGCTTCTTCAGGGCAAGTTTATGTTTATAACAAATTGATAATTAGATGGATATCTTGAAAGTAGAATAGATTTTAATTTATTGAAGGTAGATATGTAAATGAAACTTTTTATAATTCTTCTTTGACCTAAGGCGCTGCTTATTCTGTTGATCCTGAAAAGGTCAGGTCACAGTAAAGGTGTTGAAATAAAAGTAGTTGTAATAGATTTAATGTTGTTGTGATCTTTTGTACATGGTGTTTGTTGGTAGCATAGGATTGTAATATGCCATGAGAGTGTTACTGTATGCTCTGAATGTCAAGGTCACAAAGTTACACAATGTCCTTGTATTTCAGACTCTTGTATCGGACGATAATATCAACCGGATATTTGGCATCATTCTTGCCTTAGGGAACTATATGAATGGAGGTATGTCTGTGTGTTGAATCATTGGACTTCACGCATTGCGATTAAGTATTTAATGTGCAGTTGAGATCATGAGTGAAGATTTACAATAAATAATGTCTGTCATAACCAGCTTCAAGTTGATGAAAGCCAAATGTATATCAATACACACCCATTTCAAATGGTCATTATATTGTCTGTGGAAAGCATTTAATTAAATTTATGTCCCAATTTATCCATGCAATTGTGTTTGGGGAGTTGTTGAGAGGTTGTTTGGGAGTTTTTATTGTTAGGGGTTGTTTGAGAGTTGTTCTTATTGGGTTGTTTTTAAGGGAATTGTGTGGGAATTTTTATTGTTAATAATTTCCATAATGACAGAATATCTTGGTGAACCATGCTAACAGAAACATAGACAGTAAGATAAACAAATAATCTCAATTGAAAGTATTCCCAGTGATGTAAAGAAAAATGTATTATGTTTGGAAAAATGAATTTAGTTTGATGAATATTGAGCTTGTTTTTATTTATCAGGTGTAGTTAAAGTGTTGTTTGGAAGTTGTTAAGGTGTTGTTTAGGAGTTAGTGTTAAGGGGTTGTTGATAAGGTTTTTTTCTGAGTTCTTGTCTAGGGGTAATTGGGAAGTTGTTGTTAGGTATTTTATATTTATTAAGGGGTTGTTTGGGAGTCATTCAAGCACTGTGTTACAAACCCCAGTATCAAACATATTGGTTGGTATTGTTTCCCTACACTCAGTCTAACTCTGATCATTTCACAAGATTTGCTATACTCTTGTTTCAGGCAGTAGAACACGAGGCCAGGCTGACGGGTTTGGCCTAGAGATTTTGCCCAAACTCCGGGATGTCAAGGGAAAGGTAAAACATCTTACTTAATCTAGAAACCATCGCTATTCATTTTCTGTTTATAACTTGCACAGTTTCATTATTGTTTACATATGCATGCATCCTCATAGTTTTGGCATCCTGGAGCATGTTTTATGACACCTTCAGTTTGAAGGATATGCGTTAAGTACTGTAAATCTGGAAATTAATGCGTCTCCAAATTTATACGACTGCTAACCCCTAGCGAAAAATGCGACTCAATATCAAAGAGACTCCCCCTAACCTTCCCCAGTGGAATGATACATATCCTTACCTTAATCCAATCAAACGGCAAACACCATCGCTTATTAGCACTGAGTAGAGCACTTCCGTAATAACAATAAACAGTATTTTCCTAGAAGCAACACACAGCTTATATGTTTACTCTGTTGACTAGCATTAAGGAATTTCAAAGGCAATAAAATAATTGAACCAACAACAGTTCACTGGTTAGTATGCGAGAAGGTGTCAAAAAGCTTGACACATGGAAGTGGGCAGAACTCTTGACCCCAGCAGTGATAACTCACCGGATGCCCATTGTGTAATTCCTATTCTTTGAATGATATTGTTTTATACTTGTTACAAGTGCTGCTCTATCAACCGTGTTTGTGTTTATAATCAAGTTGGTATTTCTGCTATCCAAAGTGTACAGTGGGGCCGTCTTAATGTTGATAATAATGCGATCAAAGACCACTCGCATTTTCACGCTGGTGTTAATTTCAAGATTTACAGTAACCAATACAACCTGGAAGAACGACTCTTGATGTGTGGAGTTGCATCCCTTAGCCATGCAAGGATCAGCTGTGCATGGGTTATGCTCTGATTATGATTCTTAGTCTGTTTGCACCCTGTCTGTGGACACAGGTATCACCATAGTGGTAAACATTGAAGGCCTGTGTCTCTTACTCCAACATTTAGCTGACATGATGTGACATGACGAAAATGTTACCGGTATTCTAGCCTGTTGTAATACATCCCCAGCAACCTGTGCTGATTTTAGGAGGGGACTTAATGAATTAGGTAGTCAGACTTGGTGATGTGGTTGATTGCATGTCATTGTAATCAGTGGTGTGGATTGTTGCTCGTAATATCAATCACTGGATTGTCTAGTCCAGACACGATCATATACAGTCTGACATCCTATAACTGGAACAATGTTGTTAACAACAAAGAAGTCGGGAAGTTCTTTAGGACAATTGAGTTTAACATTTTTTTTGTCGTCTAGATTGTGATTTCTATACCCCTCATTCTAGATATCATTTTCTTGTGAGTTCCTCGTTATAATCAGAATGTTTCAAGTGGAGATGTGTTAGGTCTATTGAGGTAACAAACAAACAGACAAACAAACAAAGCTCTCTCTCTCCCTCTCTCCAGGACAACCGGACAAGCCTGCTGCAGTACGTTGTCGTGCAATATGTGAAGACTGTTGAAGGGGAGCGGGCCGGCACTGACCAAGCCAAGCTCCCTATTCCCGACCCCAGTGATATCAACCAGGCAGCCCTTGTTAACTTTGATGAATTACAGAAAGAAGTCAAGAGAATTAAAAAAGACTTTGATTGTAAGTATTACTTATGATACCTATATTCACCTGATTGGCAGTATTCAAATGAAAGGGGTCCTTGAGGGGTTTGCTATGGTATTTGAATCTAGGGACCCTTAAATCTTTAACTGTTAACATGGTGTCCTCCCATTTATCAGACATCTGATAATTGCATAGGTCATGGTTGTTTGGATTAATAATCCATTGGCTGATACCTATCCTATTTAAGGACTAGCCCCAAACAAGATTAATATGACATATTCTTACATCCTCAAATTGTGTGAATAAGTAGATCTTGTTCTCTATTTTCAGGACATTTTTATCATGATATTGACAAATCAAGAAATATCTGGGTTTCAAAAGGTCAATCATAGGTTTCTGGCATGCCCAAGGGACGCAACTCTGCACAGTGAATTGTATGATATCTAAAAGTCTTGGTATGCATGTTTGATTGATTTTATGTCATATAAATGTGTGAAAGGAATAAATATGTGAGGTTATATTATAATTTAGATTAAGAGCTGTGTTATGTCATCCTACCTGCTGTTTTATAATATTTTGCTGTAGTATTTTAGTGAGAGCAGATATCTCACAGGCCCCCGAGGCCGGGTGCTGCCCACCTACTTCAATGACATAAGGGTTATGACAAGGGCCCCTTGACTGCCATGCTTACTTCAAACACTACACTGATAATAAAGGAGTAAGGCTATGTATAAGATGGATGAAGATTTCAATAATGCTGTTAGTTTCTCGAGAGTTGGAGCTTTATATTAGCTTATTTTGGTTGCTGGCAGATTTGATGTCCAACCATCCACTGATGCTTTTTAACAGAAATTGTGACATGGATATAGTTCCCAAGAATATTGTAATTGTTTTTCAACCTATGATTAGCATGATTAATTAGATTAAACTACACATTTAATACCATTACTGAATCGCATCCAACTTGTCTAACATTGTAAATTATTTATTACCAAATCTTCTGCGATGACCTAGAAAATGGTTGTACACACATCATGACTGTGAGATTTGACAGATGAAGGAACATCCTTGAGTGTATGGAACGCCAAATTGTTTATTATGTTCAGTGACTTTCAGTAAAGAGTTTTGTTTTCAGCTGCAGAGTCAAGATTTCAGAAAGTGTTAAAATCTCAAGCTTCTGCAAACCACCAACAACCATTTAAAGATATCATGACAGAGTTCTTTGTGAAAGGTTAGTAGAAGACTTCAGTGTAATAAAGTTGTAATATGTTGAAAGATATAAATGAACTATTAGGACATTGTGCACTGCAGATGTAATACTAATATTGTTTGTTTGTTTGTTGTTTAATGCCGCACTCAGCAATATTCAAGCTATATGAGGGCAGTCTGTAAATAATAGAGTCTGGACCAGATTATGCAGTGATTGAAATCATGAGCATCGATCCACGCAATTGGGAAACGATGACAAGCATCAACCAAGTCAGCAAGCCTGACCACCCGATCCCGTTAGTCGCCTTTTAGAACACGCATAGTCGCCTTTTACGGCAAGCATGGGGTATTCTACCCCAGATCTTGATGGGTCTAATACTAATAAACACTGATGATCTACACAACTGAGGATTGAACATTCTGATTGTTTTACAGGTCAACAAGACTTTGTGGATCAACAGGAGAACCTCTCTGAGTGCCAAGAGAAGTGAGTGCTAATTTATTGCCATTGTAAGCTGTGTGATAGCATGTGTGTGCCATCTTCTTTAAAGATCTTTGTCGTCCAATATCGGATTTGTAAATATTGTTTCAATTTTTCAAATTTGTAATGACATTCATGTTGGTGGTTTTATGTCATATTATGAAATTTGTAAGTGTATACATTCTGATCTTTGGGTTTTAATGTATATGGAAATTGTTACTATTGCTTTTAAAATACCAGATAATATTTGGATTGGTCCATCGTTGGTGAATTGAGAGTTCATGTTTTAAGTGTTTTCACTTTTTTTCACTTACAGTTTAAGATACCTTCAGTTTGTCATACAATGATAATGTAAATTTTTTCGTTTTGTGTTGGTTCTCTTTCCTCTGATTCCAGGAAGTTATATTGGGACATTTATGAATTTTGTCATTCATTGACACGTTTTTAAACTGATTTAATTTGAAATCAACATGTATCCCTTGTCACTAGGTGAAATAATTATAAAATGGAGATTTTTTTTATTATAATATGTTACATATTAAGTTGGAATTTTGTTCTTTTCAGGTTTAGAGAAATGGTACGATTTTTCTGCATTAAGCCCAAGGGAGGCGACTCTGCAGTTTCCCCTGACTACCTGTTCTCATTTTGGTTGGGATTCAGTAAGGAATTCAAGGATCTTTGGAAGAAAGAGCAACAACGTATTGTCAAACAGAGGTGAGGACTCCAACACTGTGTGGGATTAACATAAATTAACCAGTAATTAGTCATGCTTCTATTGCAAAGTAAATTACTGAAATTCAATGATAGCACCCTATAGTCATTCAGGTTGTACAGTTTTAGGAAATACATGTTTTTGTCAAGGAATGGTTCAGCAGATTGCAGCAATATGAGATCCTGACTGAGAATTTAGCACAACGTATTGGCACAGATGATAGCTACGTGTTGGGTGTGGTTGTTTCAGGATAAAGGATAGCGAGAACAAGGTGCAGCGGATCAGAGGCAACAAGACTGCTGCTGCTCCACCCAAGATGGCTCGGAAAGCAGGGGGACTGGTGAGGACACTTATATATAATATACAGACTGGAATGCGGCAAGATATTGCAAGATATCAATCACTGGATTGTCTGGTCCAGACTCGATTATTTACAGACTGCCGTCATATAGCTGGAATATTGCTGAGTGCGGCATAAAACAACAAACCAACCAACCAACCAACATTGTGTATTAAGTGATAATACCAAATATACAGACTACAGCAGGTGCTCAGTAAACAATATTTGTCTCCCCTTTGTGGGTTTTTATTTGCGATATGGTCCCCAGAACCAGATGTGTGACTACCTCCATTGGCATTCGAGGGCTGAATTCATCCCCAATACCCGATGTGAGGCCACTGATATTACAACATGTAGACCATTTACAGTGTTTGAAATTAGGCATGAGAGTTAATGGGTCCTCTTCATAACCCTGTTGTTATGAGTTTAAAGATTAGGGTGTCACTTAATTCAAATACAATAGAAACAAACCTCAAGGATCCTCGGACCCCTTAATTCAACACTGCAGTTTCTCATGAGGCAGAATAGAGCAGATTCTATGGCAGAGTAGGTCCCCACTACACCATGCTGGTCTCTCTGTGGGGATTCTGTGACAAGATAGGTCCCCAGTACGCCATACTCGTCCCTATGGATTTCTTGAGCAGATAAGGTCTCCAGTACCAGATGTGTGACTCCCCATTGACATTCAAGGGATGGCTAGGACCCCAGTATCTACTGCTTGTAACCCTTGGAGATTCAAGGTCGGAATAGGTCTCCATTACCTCATGCTTGTCTCACCTGGGGTTTTTCTATCAATATCTGCATAATCCACATAAAGTGACTATGAATTAATTGTTACCGTAGAGATTTGTGTGAAACAAAGTGAGACACAATGCTATTCTCAAAGTTCTCGAAGGTCGATGTCAAATCTGTTATGATGTAGGAAGTAATATTCCCTACAGAGTTGTCTCCCTTGGTCATATAGACGGTTTGGGGCATTTCTAAGCTGAGTATAGATCATTGGTCTATTATGAGCTGAATTATGGAAATCACAGCTTTTATGGATGTGACAAAATTATTTATGATGAAGCACAGGACCCAAATCTATGTAAAGCATCAAGTTGTATTAAAAAACATGATTATAATTTTCCAAAGTATTTGATATGAATCATGTCAAACTGTATGCTATGATCCACACATAGTGAATTTTACTTTCTTCCACAACAAGTCCTACCCCTGTAGAGTACAAGTGACCCAGTGGTTTAATGCCTGCTATTTCCTGTGCAGAGCCATGTCCTGCCTAATCATGTAGACTGACATTCAGTCCCAGAAGTAGTTATCCTATTTGAAAACATATATCTGCAAAATATGAAAAAAATGAAATCCAAATGGAGCCCTGAACAATGCTTAATTTCAGAGGACTTGCCCAATCATTGTATGAGCTGGATGCCTTTCTTAATTTATTCTCTTGGGTCTGGGAGACAGACTTAAGGACCATTGAATGTTGGATTAATACCAGCGTCTCCCTGGTTATGATCTTGATCTGTCAGCACCATCAGGGGCGAAGCTGAAGCCGTTTACAAGTGTCGGCAACATGGCAAAAGCAAAGCAATTTGGTGAGGGTGAGCAGCTCCTGAGAACGCTTGTGGGTCACCTGCTATATCTGTGCTTGTAAACATCTTGGTGGTTTCCCCCAATTTACAACAGTTACTTTGTTTCATTTTGTTGCTGTGTAGGACGTCTCACTGCATTAGTAACGGCATGACGATGTAATGTAGCTTCCCATTAATAAAGGGCAACTACTGGAGCAGTCCTACTGATTGATTACCGTTAATTTTGAAAAATTATATGTGGGCAATTTCCTTGTGCCTATACGGTAGTTACATACATGTAACTGACAATGCTTATGTTTGCCTTGAGCTTCCTCCCATGATGCACTGTTGCGATGTAGTTCAGTGTGCGACTCCCACCCTTTCAATCAGTCGCTTCAACGGTAAATAGTTGGGCTAACAAAGGGCAGGGATCAGTCTAAATTTGGTATGAATCAAGACTCATGTGTCTCAAAGTGGGACTCGGACACTTAGAGATCTAGTACTGTAGTTTCAAGTGTGTCAGCTTTATGTTGGAGAAAAGCCCAAACTGATATGGGTCTTAGAGCATGGGTATGGTGAAGACAAACCAATAATAATCATAATAATAGTAATAATTATATTTCTTATATAGTTCTAAACTCCATATTTGCGTATGCTGACCCGTGAAGATCTGGGGTAGAATAGGTCTTCAGGAACCCATGCTTGCCGTAAATGGCGACTATGCTTGTCGTAAAAGGCGACTAACGGGATCGGGTGGTCAGGCTTGTTGACTTGGTTGATGCGTGTCATCAATGCCAATTGCTTGGATCAATGTTCATGATGTCAATCACTGGATTGTCAGGTCCAGATTTGATTATTTACAGACTGCCGTCATAGAGCTGGAATATTGCTGAGTGTGGCGTAAAACAACAAACCAACAAACTTCTATATGCTCAACATGCGAAGCCATTATTACCCCACTCAAAGGATCGATGTGCACTTGATCTATGCAAATTTGAAATCATCAGTGAATCCTGGCTCGCCTAAGGGTAGAAACTCTGCAGAGTGAATTCAGGCGCTTTAGGACAAGGGGTCACATGTACTCATTCCAAATCCTTGTGGATGAAATGATTTTGTAACACATCTATCGACAGTAGTATTAATGGATTGTATCAGTGAATGATGTTCTGGTGTCTGTTCCAGCGACAACCTTCTCCTAACAATATGTCATACTTTATGTTTGCAGAAAGACAGACTAGCACAAAAAGGATTGCTGGGTTGAAATTCATGGTAAGATCTTCACTCAGTATTTTATATGCAATGCTTGTTTAGAAGTATGTTGCAAAGTCTTTTGGAAATTCTGGTTACTTCACATATTATCATAACCTGTATTGATAAAATGTTATGAAAATATCAAAGCGGATGTGCCACAGATTTAACATTAATGGATGATAAGAAACATGGTGCACACGTTTTGATTTACTCACAGCACTCCAGCCATGTTGAAAGGGTAATTCATCTGATGGTTTGGTTGTGTAATTTGTGTCTTTAATTTGAGGAATTCCCCATATAAGAAAACATTAAGTATGATACAGAGCCTAGTGTCTTTAACTTTATTTCATACCATTTGCTTTTTGTCATGTACTTGGTATGGATCGGGGGAGATCGTTATTCAGGGGAGACAACTGTTGTTGCTTTGTTGACACTTTCACTGCGTTCACAGGCCTACAAACACAAACCTGTAATATGTGAGCTAATACTATAGTATGGGTCTTCAGCAACCCATGCTTGTTGTAAGAGGCAACTAGTCGACTGTGCTTGTTGTAAGAGACAAACAAGATTGGGTGGTCAGGCTCGCAGACTTGGTTGATGCATGTCATCGTATCCCACTTGCGTAGATCAATGCTCATGATGTCAATCACTGGATTGTCTGGCCCAGACTCAATTATTTACAGACTGCCGTCATATAGCTGGAATATTGCTGAGTGTAATGATAAACAACTATCATGTATACATGGCTTTATCAGTGAATGGAATAATAAGGAATTGAAGAGTTAATAGATTATTGGATTGGTGAGTGGATTGATGGATTAATAATTTGTTTGATGGGTATGTTGATGAATGGATTGATGGGTGTGTAGAAGGTTGGATTTATGATTTAATTGATGGGTGTGTAGATGGATGGGTTAATGACTTAACTGAAGGGTGGATAAATTATTTAATTGATGGGTAGATTAAGGATTTGATTGATGGGTGGATAAATGATTTGATTGATGGGTAGATTAAGGATTTGATTGATGGGTAGATTATTGTTTTGATTGATGGGTGGATAAATGATTTGATTGATGGGTAGATTAATGATTTGATTGATGGGTGGGTAAATGTTTTGATTGATGGGTGGATAAATGATTTGATTGATGGATGGATTAATGATTTGATTGATGGGTAGATTAATGATTTGATTGATGGGTGGATAAATGATTTGATTGATGGGTGGATAAATGACTTGATTGATGGTGGATAAATGTTTTGATTGATGGGTAGATTAATGATTTGATTGATGGGTAGATAAATGTTTTGATTGATGGGTGGATAAATGATTTGATTGATGGGTAGATTAATGATTTCATTGATGGGTAGATTAATGATTTGATTGCTGGTGGATAAATGATTTGATTGATGGGTAGATTAATGATTTGATTGATGGGTAGATTATTGTTTTGATTGATGGGTAGATTAATGATTTGATTGATGGGTAGATTAATGATTTGATTGATGGGTAGATAAATGTTTTGATTGATGGGTAGATTAATGATTTGATTGATGGGTAGATTAATGATTTGATTGATGGGTAGATAAATGTTTTGATTGATGGGTGGATAAATGATTTGATTGATGGTGGATAAATGATTTGATTGAAGGGTGTTTAGATGGGTGGGTGTAGGATTTAGTTGATGGGTGTGTAGATGGGTGGATAATGTTTTGAATAGATGAATAGATTGATGGATGGATTACATATTTGATAGCTGGGCATGTAATGGGAAGGTATATAGATGAATAGATTGATAGATGGATTACATATTTGATAGCTGGGCATGTAATGGGGAGGTATATAGATGAATAGATTGATGGATGGATTACATATTTGATAGCTGGGCGTGTAATGGGAAGGTATATAGATGAATAGATTGATGGATGGATTACATATTTGATAGCTGGGCATGTAATGGGAAGGTATATAGATGAATAGATTGATGGATGGATTACATATTTGATAGCTTGGCGTGTAATGGGAAGGTATACAGATTAATAGATTGACGAAAGAATGGCTGGGTGGATAAAAAATTTGATAGATGGTTCATGCGTGTGTAGATATGGAGATTGATGGGTAGATATAGTGATAGTGGATTGATGGCTTGACAAACTGATGGCTTGGTACATGGATGTTGAAGGCCAATATGAAAAAGTTGAATATTTCCACCCATATCATATGACAGGTCATTTCTTCATACAAATACCCATGTTGTGAATTGTGTCAGTTTTCGCCAAATAAAAAATACAAGATAGTTTTTTGTTTAAATCCGAATAAGAAGATGATTGGGTAAATGGTGGATGTCATATGTAAAATAAACTATGTTGAACCTCGGCCAGCAAGTAAATCCTTTAAATGGCTGTTAGCACATCGAGTACAGTTAAACTGAGGAGATAACATTGCTGTGTTAATCACCTGCACTTAACCCAGATCTACATCCTACGTCCACAAAGTAGACATACTTACTTACATTATTACTTATCTGTATTGGAAGATGTCAGTGGGGACAATACTCTGGCAGGGAGAGGGCTTTGTATATGGGGAATGTCATGACTGCTTGGAGGAACACATTAAGTGTGCACCTAGTGAACCCTCAGTTTGACTCCACTCACTTCTGTCAGTCCTGAGAAACCAGAGGATAAATTGCATGTGTCAGTAGCATCTAAATCAGAGCAGTTGTTGTTGATCTGCTAATTTGTTCTGTCCCAAGAATATGTGGACATGTGTGACTGATTTTGATTTCCAGGGAATTCTAGTTCTAGTTAGTTCTAGTTAGATGATACATAGAAGTATGAATATATATATTTGGGGGGATTTTCAATATTGAAATATTTCCTTAAATAGCTAAGAGCCTTGGAACACTTGATCCCTCCCAGATTACTTCCAGCAACCTGTTTATCCCTAACCCCTATCCTATTACCTACATCATGCAGTCTGTCCCTACCCCTATATGCTATATCATGAACCTGCCCCAGCCCCTACCTTTGTCCCTACATTTAGGACCCTGTTTCTATCCCATTACCTATGTCCATCATCCTGCCGCTGCCCCTATATGCTCTATCAAACACCATGTTTCTACCCCCTACCCTTGTCCCCTACATCTAGTACCTGTCCCTACCCCCTATCCCTGTCCCCTACATCTAGGGCCTGCCCCAACCCCCTACCCTTGTTCCCTACATCTAGTACCTGTCCCTACCCCCTATCCCTGTCCCCTACATCTAGGGCCTGCCCCAACCCCCTACCCTTGTTCCCTACATCTAGTACCTGTCCCTACCCCCTATATCTAGGGCCTGCCCCCTCCCCCTACCCTTGTCCTCTACATCTAGGACCTGTCCCTACCCTATACCTTTGTCCCCTACATCTAGTACCTGTCTCTACCCCCTATCCCTGTCCCCTACATCTAGGACCTGTCCCTACTCCTTTCCCCTACATCTAGGACCTGTCCCTACCCCTTTCCCCTACATTTAGGACCTGTCCCTACTCCTTTCCCCTACATCTAGGACCTGTCCCTACCCCTGTCCCCTACATCTAGGACCTGTCCCTACTCCTTTCCCCTCCATCTAGGACCTGTCCCTACTCCTTTCCCCTTCATTTAGGACCTGTCCCTACCCCTGTCCCCTACATTTAGGACCTGTCCCTACCCCTCACTCCTGTCCCCTACATCTAGGACCTGTCCCTACCCCCTACCTGTCCCCTACATTTAGGACCTTCCCCTACCCCCTACCTGTCCCCTACATTTAGGACCTGTCCCTAACCCCTTCCCCTTTCCCCTACATCTAGAACCTGTCCCTACCCCCTACCTGTCCCCTACATTTAGGACCTGTTCCTAACCCCTACCTGTCCCCTACATTTAGGACCTGTCCCTAACCCCTACTCCTGTACCCTACATCTATGACATGTCGCTACACCCTACCCCTGTCCCCTACATTTAGGACCTGTCCCTACCTCCTACCCCTGTCCCCAACATTTAGGACCTGTCCCTACCCTTTACCCCTGTCCCCTACATCTAGGACCTGTCCCTACCCCTTTCCCCTACATCTAGGACCTGTCCCTACCCCCTACCTGTCCCCTACATTTAGGACCTGTCCCTAACCCCTTCCCCTTTCCCCTACATCTAGAACCTGTCCCTACCCCCTACCTGTCCCCTACATTAGGACCTGTTCCTAACCCCTACCTGTCCCCTACATTTAGGACCTGTCCCTAACCCCTACTCCTGTCCCCTACATCTAGGACCTGTCCCTACCCCTTCCCCTTTCCCCTACATTTAGGACCTGTCCCTACCCCCTACCTGTCCCCTACATCTAGGACCTGTCCCTAACCCCTCCCCTTTCCCATACATCTATGACCTGTGACAACCCCCACCTGTCCCCTACATCTAGGACCTGTCCCTACCCCTCCCCTACATCTAGGACCTGTCCATACCTCTGTCTCATACATCTATGACATGTCGTTACCCTATACCCTACCTCAAGGACCCAGTCCCTATCCTATTACCTATATCCAGCATCCTGTCCCTGTCCCTGTCCCTGTGCCTACATTTATAAGCCTATAGTGACATCATCCTATTGTTAAGTTTACTTCAAATAGTGGGAAGCCCACAACTCAGTTTATAGTGTCCCTGCCCAGGGTATTGCAAGAGAATGCCCTGAACTTTCTAATTTAACTGAAGAGTGTTACAGTACCAAAGATTTATAAACATCCTTTTAATATGAACCTGCATCCTCACATATCATGTTTAGTATTGTAACCATCTGTTTATGCACTGAGCCAGTGGGGCAGGTGATGATAGGATGTTCAATCTTACATGTCACTGTCTTCAGTTGTCTGCCCTCCCCTCCTCCCTACCCTACCACCCAACACCCTCCTCATCCTGCCTACCCTCGCCTTCATACCCCCTCCTCCCCACTCCTACTGACTGGCTGTAGTAACAGAAGGAACAATTCCATGTGTCAGTACCAGATAGTTACCTCCCTTTCTG